ATTAATATCAAAAACATAAATATATAAATACATTAAGTGTAAATAATACTCTGACCATAAGTATAATGTTTTAAGAACATGAATATTGAAGAGAATGTTTCAAAATTTTAATTATATTTTAATGATCAGCTATTATAATTCTAAGCAATTACATTTTTTTTAATTCTATATAAAACTGTAATTTGTAATATTAATAAAAAAATAGGTAGGTTCATAGTTTCAAACAACATATTATTAAGTATACTAGACAGTATTAAAATGTATGATCTACGATGGTTCTATATTATGGTCAGCAGAGTGAATATGGTTAATCTTTTAATTAGTTGTGATCAAAAATATGTTAACACAAATCAGTAAAAACCATAGTAAAAACTAGGTATGTCAAATAGTTAAATAATAGTTTTTATTCTTCTATCATTCTGACATTGAAAAAAGACAAAATTTTAATTATTTAATATAATTATTATTTGTTTTTTTTTTTATTGAAAGAGCTCAATGTATTTTTATTTTAAAATTTTATGAATGATGTAGAAATACAGTGTTGATTTATTACCATGATGGCATGATGCCTACAAATGACAAAATATGTATTGCTCTATCCGGAAATTGTATTAATACAAATATTATTAATATTATTAGTAATTATTAATTCCAATGTTGTAATATGAATGATTAAGCCTGTTATGGTAATATCAGTCCGGTTTTAGATATTAATATTACCTACTTATTTTATTTTTGTAAATTATTTTATTCTTTTACATAGCCACATAGTGCATATATATATTGGTTATATTCTATCAATCAAATTTATTTGCTTACTTCTTTTTAACACAATCCACAGATTCGTTTTCAGATTTGTCTTCGTCAAAATAATTGTCTTTGTTGTATAACCTTAATAACAAAAAAAAAGATTTTAAATCAGGTAAATTAATACAAAATGAAGTGTAGGTAGTTATACATTAATTATTAATACAATACAATTTACCATTCCAAAACATTATTTTTGCTATTCACTAGATCAATTTTTTCAGGACTCTTTTGTTTCTCTTTATCATAATGGGAAATATATGACAATTTTGTACTCTGCAAAGATGGACTAAACAGAAATTAAATAATCGATAGTTAAAAATATAATAGGTAGGTAAAAGTAATACAAATTTTAATAAAATGAAAAAAAGAAAAAATTCACTCATAACTCATAAGTTAGATATGTAAATTAAATACCAATTTAACACAATGCACGATAGGTATTTGTAATAATATTTAATTTTAACGTAATACCTATATAATATCCATAATCCATATCAAAAATATATAAATTATAAAATATACCAATAAAAATTAAAAATTAATTATTTAATGTTGGTTAGCTGAAGGGGCGTATATTGAATTATTTAAATATTATCATTCATATTAAGTTCATAACCAAAAAATCAAAATACCTACATGTGGACATGTGGTTGATAGAAACATAATATTTTATTAGAAAATAAGAGTAATACTCTCAATAATAAAAAAAATTATAAACCAAAAGTAAAAACATCATGTGTATCCATCGTTAGAAGTAAAAATTATTCTAATAACACTACTTTTAACCACAAGTATTTTATGGCGAATGTACTATTTTAGTAGCAATTCCAATTAGATTTATTTTTAACGGACGTCATACTAACCCAAGTAGCACATAAATGTTTATTCAATATTTTCAAAATATTAAAACATTAATTGGTAAAACGTTTTATAAAAATAATATTTAATAAACATTTTTAAAATATGTTATTTCAAGTATTTATCAGTAAACATTTTATTAATATTCTAAATATGTTATTTGATAAACATATTAAGAAAAATATTTTTTACTACTTTTATTATGTTTTACACAAAAATATTTTATTTAATAATTATAAAAAAATATAAATTATATGAATAATATTTTATATTTATTATATATTATAAAAAATCGCTACCTATTTTATATATTATACATATATAATACAGCATTTTGTAGGTATTATATGCGTAATTCAATATAATATATAATAATTAATAACTCTTAATTCCCAAGTAGGCCTACTCGATCGAAATAATGTATAATTAGCCAGGTATATATTTTATATATTTTACGCGGATGATAATGATGATAATATAATATTATTATTATATTATATATTATAACCAACCAATAATATATAAGCATTATATTACGCATCAATAAAAAATAAACATTTATTACATCTTAAATGTAACAATATATGAGACCCATATTTATATATTGTAAATATTATAATGTAAATAATACGTGATCATTATCCGCGCGCGTCGAAGATGATGAACGTAATAATAGTATATAATTTATATACTATTATTACGTGACATAACCATATAATATATTATATATTACACTCCAATGCCCCATTATAATATAATATTATGCCAGAAATATGAAAAATAGTCGAGTGTACGTCAATTTATTTATTATTTTATTATATAGTGTGACCAATTTACCATCATCACGTTCGGACTTTCGTAGTGGTTACTAACAATAAATTCCAAAATATAAAATGATAAGTCGATATGGGTTTTCCCGGCTCATATACTTTATTAGATTAAACCGCTTATTCGCGCCGATGACAGATCGAGCCGCCGATCGCCAGGCGACGACTTTGCGTTCTGTTTCTGTGGTTGGCCTTGCACACCATGCATACAGAGAATCATAAAAAATATTTTGGTTTTGCGCAGTTATGAAACAATTACAAAATGTACAAACAAAAAAGGTAATAATTCACAAAGGAATATTATTATACGAGTATTTAAACAAAATATATTATGTGTGATAATCGCAAGAGTAAATGTATACGCGCGGGTGGAATCAAAAATGTGTTAGTGTGATACTACAGCTCACTATACGTATACAACTGCAGTTTCGTGGCAGCCGACACTATAATAATAGAGCGACATAACGCTCTCGCCGGCGGTTTCTGGTTTGTGGTGACTGGTGGGAATGCGCGCGGACAAAACGTTGTCTAGCTATATATATTTTGTTATCGCATTTTCCGTTGTTCGTATATACAGCGAATAGTTTATATTATAATATAATATAATACATTATTTGATATTGATTGTTGATAATAAATTCTGGTCGAGTTGTGTTCATACTTCAAACCATGATATTATATTTAACTTAAATTTAATTTAATGTGTCCTGTTTCTCAATATTTATTCGCAACTCGCAAGTATCTGCATGACTGCATGTGTCCGGCATCATTAAAATATTAATAAATACTAAATAGGTTGTTTGTTCTGAAGAGTCAGTAGAGAATACGTCTTCATTCTTCGCAGTCTCCAGTTATTTTGTACAGGTAAGACATTTTATATTGTTGTTAAATCAGATATTATTATCTAGGTAGTGTTGTAATTTAATATGGGTAAAACACGTTTTAGCATTTTATATTATTTTTCCTTAAACGCAACACGTTTAGTTTAGGCACTATTTTTTTCCTATAAATCACAATATAAATACCTAGGTATATAATAAATAATAATATATACCTATGTAGGTTTTTTATGTATCTAGATCAAGTATCTATATACTTTTTGTATAAGTATTATATAAGTTATTTAGGTAATATAATATTATGGTTTTAAGCAAAAAATAGTAATGAAGCTGTAAGCATGCCATTCCGACATTCAAATAATTATTGTTATAAAAATTTGACCTGATATGTTCTCACTTAGGTATATTTTAAAAACAATTTTGACTTAGTCAAAAAGCTTGTAAATTGAATACAAGGTTCCTTATAAGTTGTTCTATACAAAGATATTTTAAGATGTTTATAAATATTAACTCTATGTTATTCGCTATTCTTTGTTATAGGCATTTGAAGTTCAAAATTTGCAAATAATTTTGTAGTTAAAAATTTAAAAAATGTTCAATTTCTATACCTTAAACTTTAAAATTTCAAACAAGGTTCCTCATAAGTAGGTCATACTGAAATCAAAAATTCTAAAATTATTTAGAAACAATTTTTTTTTATATATATGTTAAAGTATACCTAAATTTGGATGCAATTATAGATATTAAAAAAAGAATAACGGACTAGTTATTTTGTTGTAGGTGCCTAATTCAAATATATTATTTGTGGGATATTTAAACTTTTAAGTGTACTGTTATATTGTGTATATTTTATGTACACAATGCAATTTTCAAAAACATAATTTTCATTATTAATATTATTATAACTCGGTGTTATCATTAAATTTGTATAATGTACCTATTTTATTTAATATCCCATATTATTGCATAGGTACCTAGTATTTTAATATTATATGAATATGATACTTGGTGAAATATTTCTGTGTACTTACTTACCTAAATTACCAGACTACTAGAATTATTAATGATACTATTTGATAAGTATATTTATATTATATAGTGGCAGTAAATTAATATAAGTAATAAACTAATAAATAATAAGTTTTTATGAATTTGAGAATATGGGTGAATTATTATTATTAAATGGATAAAGTGAAAAAAACATGAAAACTCACTCAATAACATTATTGTAATATACAATTTATCAAACAATTTTTTTTCTCATAACTTATTATATGTATTATATTTTAGTATTTACTTTCTTTATAATTTCTGCAAATAAATTATTTTTACTCTTATATAGATATGCCAATGTAATTATTATAATACCTATTTTTTCAAAATGGTATTATAGGTATTTATTTTAAGTTTTGCTTAAATGTCAACATTTTATTTCGGTGATAACATATAACTCGACGTATAACTATTGTATTTATTTCCAAATTTCTATTCATTAAAATTTTAGTAGCAATATCTTAAAATAAGCATCTTTTAAGTAAAAATTAAAAATAGCAATTTAGGTATTTTATTATTTCCTAGTTACCTACTTTAATAATCACAATATTCCTTAATACCTTTTTTAATATATTTATGAAAAATATTTCAGATTATTTTTATTTATGTATTAGATGTATAAAAATTACTTCAGTTGTTTTATCAACTTCCCATTTTAGAAAAAATGCCAAGAAAGCGACTTCAGTTTCATCAATTGTCTAGTAGGAGTAAAAGAAGAAGGGTTAATGAAAGTGCTGGTTGTTCACATTGGTCTGATGATAGTGACAATAAAATAAATACTACAAGAGATACTATAGATAATAAAGCTAACGATACAAATTGTTCAATTCTTCTTGATCCCGAATCTTCAGAAAATTATAATTTGAATACAGAGATTGAAAAGCATCAAACAATATTTTCTGAAAATGACCTGTCTTTAAGTAGTACATCTAGTGATAACGAACAATTTTTTCAGTTTAATTTTGATTTGTCTCCTCCAGAAATATATCCACCTGTTAATGTAAATGAGGATGATAATCAGTCTTTGGATATCAAGAAATTTCTTCGAAATTGGTCTATTAAATATAATATTACTGATGTATCTTTATCTGCTTTGTTAGTTGGCTTGAAAGAAAATATTAATATTTTAAATACAATTTTACCATCTGATGCCAGAACATTATTAAAAACAAATATTGTGTTCGAAAAAAAGAATATTGAACCTGGTCATTACTTACATATTGGCTTGGAAACCCAGCTAAAAAGTTTGATTAAAAGTTGTCCATTAATTAATGAAATACAAGAATTGAAATTAATAGTGAATGTTGACGGACTTCCTCTTTTTAAAAGTTCTGCTGGACAAGTTATTCCAATATTAATTTCAGTCATTAATATTCGACAATTTAAAAAAAATGTGTTTCCTGTTGGAATTTATTATGGTTTACAGAAACCTAATAATATGGCTCAATTTCTTCAAACTTTTATTGATGAAGTTATTGTTTTAACAGAAAGAGGTATTAGTAATGAAAATGGTAGTGTAATGTCAGTAAAAATTGTTGGTTTTTGTTGTGATGCCCCTGCAAAAAAAGATATATTGGGTATTAAAGGGCACGGTGGATATTCATCTTGCACTAAATGCACAGTCCATGGTATTACTGTTGGTAACAAGCGTGTTTTTACTGAATTAAATTGTGCTCCGAGAACTCATGAAGACTTCGTTAATTGGGTTGATATAAATTATAGACAGTTGGATACACCATTGACACAAATACCTAGTATTGATTTTGTTAAGTCAATAATACTAGATTATTTGCATTTAGTTTGCCTAGGAGTAATGCGCACCATGTTATTAACATGGTATGATGGAGTTATACCATTTAAGTTATCACGCCAATTGATACAAAAAGTTTCAGATTTTATGTTCAATAATCGCTTAAATTTACCATCAGAGTTTGCTAGGAAGCCTCGTGAACTTAAGTATCTTTTGAGGTGGAAAGGAGTTGAATATCGATCTTTTCTGTTGTACCTTGGAGTAGTAGCTTTAAAAGGTGTTTTAGATGACAACAAATACAATAATTTTTTAACATTGAATGTGGCAATGTCTATACTGCTTAATCCAAAAACATGTAACAATGAAGAAATGAGGGAATATGCAAGATCTCTTCTACAACATTTTGTGCAAACGTTTATGGTTCTCTACAATGAAAGTTTTATAACTCATAATTTTCATGGGCTAATACATTTAGTTGATGACGCTAAACATTTTGCACCTATGATTGATGCATTTACACTCGACTCAATTTCTGCATTTCCGTTCGAAAATTTTCTTCAAAAATTAAAAAATATGATAAGAGGGAAAAATAAACCACTGGAGCAAATTGGAAAACGACTAGCACAATTATTCTCTGATGATCATTTCTTTTCTTTCCAATCATGTCCATCTGATAATTTTCCTAAATTATTAAATATGCATTGTAGTGGACCTCTACCTGTTAATTGTAATGGGCCACAGTATAAAACGTTGTCATTTTATGATTTTGTAATTAAAATAGAATCACCCAATAACTGCTGTGCCACAACAAGTAATGATATTGTAATGGTAGAAAATATATGTTTTTCTATGGAGTTACAATCTTTTGTAATTGTTGGAAGAAAATTTCTTGTAAAAAATAACTTTTTTACAGTGCCCTGTGAAAGTTCTACTATTGGCATTTATAAAGTAGAAAAATTATCCAATCTAAAAATATGGCCTATTTCTAATGTTTGCATGAAGTATGTTGTTTTGCCTTACAAACATTTTTTTATTATTTTTCCTTTACTGCATTCAGCATAGTAGGATATTCACTTTTTTTCTTTTTTTCTGTGATCTGAATTATTATGTTACCTATATTTTATATTACCTAAACTTAACATTACCTATACAATTACTACTTATTAAAATCAATGTATATACATTTCCTATATTTATTTCATGGTATAATACTCTTATAATTCTTTTAATCTGTTTCCATCTTCATCATATAATTATCGTATCAGCTATCAATATTTTGTTTATTTTAAAGAGGTAATTTTAAGTTTTTGCTTTAAATATGTATTATATTTAAAAATATGATATGAAATGTGGACATAATTTGTATTTTTTCTTTATTTTTTTTACAGTATGTGGACATTAATATCCATTTACGAACCAGGTGAGGAGCCAATACCAGATTTAGTACCAAATATTTGGTTAATTAATGATGTAAAATGTTGGTACCCATTAAATTTTCGTATGTCTACAATCAAATCATTAACAAAGTCTCAAGCAAATCCAGATCCAAAAAATTGGGAACAACTAAAAATTGAAATCATTGAAAGAGATATAAGTAAGAAATTAAGTTTGAAATTACCAATGAATTATTTTATGTATCAATAACTGTAATTATCACATTTTTAATATCTAATTTTATTTTATTTGTTTATTTACAGACAACTATGATTATGGTTTAAAATTAATGTATAGAGCGGCTAAACACAATGAGTTGCATTCTGAAGCTGAAATAGAAAAAGGCAGAGGAATGAGGCCAAAATTAAAAAAACGTAATTTGTTTGAAGACTTGGACCATGACTTCTCAACTAATAATGAGATTATAATTCAAAATGATTCAGCTGAAGATAATATTACGATTCCTTACCCTAAATGCCCAAAAAAACTGAAAGTCAATGGTATGCATATTTAATATAATTATGTATGAACTAGTCGGTGAATTTAAAATTATTTATGTACAGTATTTAGGTAATTTGTTAAAAAATGTTATAGGTACACCACAACCAACTTGTTCAAACGTACCAGAATCAAATATTTCGTACAGTACCCCTAAGATAAGTGGCATTAGTAAGTATTTTTATTTACTTCTATCGTCTGTCATTCAAGTTAAGATTTTTATTTTATTTATTTTAATTATAGGTATGTAATGGTGTTATTATATCAGGTTAATAATTATAAAATTGAGTTTTTGAAACATATAATTGTACAGATGCTTATTTTGGATTTTATATTAAAAGTATAATAAGCATACAAATGAAATAGGGCTTTATAAATATTCAATTGATATATTATAGTTATTATTAATAGAATTTTTGTTTATGTTATTATAAAGGTGCAATAATTGATGATGATGAAGAACATTTATCTCCAAACTTAGTAAATAGTTTATATACAGCTGGTAATTTAAATATATTTCGTACTATATAGTTATAATATATTAAAACCTTAGTATTCTTAATAATTTATTAAACTATAATATCTATTTATATAAAGGTAATAAACATGCATTAAAAAATTAATTCAACTTAATTTTCAATTAAATTAAAAGTTTAATTAACATTATATATTAGGTATGTATAATATTGCATTATTTGATTTGTACATGTAATTATTAATTCTATCAATTTGTTTACAAAATGATATACTCAATGCTCCTGTTATGGAATTATAGAATGCATGCATTTTGTATTTAATTTAAATACCTAAATAAATAAAAACTGAATAATATTCTTATGTGTATATTTTCATTTGTACCTAGGTACTATAAATTATACAATTCGATATTATAATGCTATTAAAGTTGTTAATAAGAAATAAAAAATATTTAAATATAAATAGTATAGGTACCTAATACATTATACATTAATACAAATTTATCTCGTTCATATAAAATATATAAAAACAAGGTTCAAAGTATATTTCAAAAATTAAATAATAACTATATTGATTATACATTTAGTCGTTTTTGTAAATTCTTTGTTCAGGTTGTATTAAAATATTTGTATTCGTTGTGTTAGTAATGTAATGTAATGTTTTATTTTTTTGTAGACAGTGTAATGAGCTTACCACCTGTAGCAGCTGTAGCTAATAGTTCACATGCTGGTGAAATTCGATGCAATCTTTCCAAAAAATATCATTCTTGTTCGTTTGATAATATTAAAGATGTAAATAATGTCCAAATGATATTAGTTGCAATGTCACACAATATGTGTAAGATATCTGGTAAGCGTAGGTCTTTTAAAAGCTACATCTATAATAATTTTGAACTATAATGGTACCATTATTCTAGAATAACAAATACTTAAATAAAAAATTATAATTTATATTTTATATTTTACAGCAGATATTCAGAAAATCAAATCAAATATGATCCACATGAAAAGTGAAATAGAATCATTCATTCTTAATGACTCTAAGAAAGTAAACAACAATGAATCACAAACCCTTGAAAAAAGAACTGAAGATATATTATCAATATTTCCTTTAAAGACTGATGATGAGCTTTTGGCTATAGAATGTAAATTAAAAGATGAAGATTTATCATATACTCAAAAATTGGTAAGTAACATTTAAAATAATATTTTGTTTTTTAGAAATTTTATTACCTACAATCTTATATAACCTGGTCAGGTGTATGCCTATAACTATTGATTTGGGTATCTGGACACAGCAGTATGTTTATGGAATATATATTTATTTACCTTAAAATTAAAGAATAATGTACTTAACTTTGGGGGTGGGGGGCCCACAAAAAAAAAATCTTGGCGATTCCTGATTATATAATATATATATATCATCGTAATTTATGACATAATGTTAAGAACTAAACAAAATCAACTAATTTCATTATTTTTACTGAGTTACTTTTACACTTTTGAACTAATATTAAGGATTAAGGCAAATATGAATAGACAAGATAATAGGACAAAACCTAGATAATTACAAAAACTAATTGTTAATATTTAGTACCTATGTTATTAAAGAATTTATTTTAATTCATATTTTTTACAAAACTATATTTGTAATAAATTTGTAGATACATATATATAATAACCTTAAAAAAAAGTGCAAAATTACATCTTATTTATATAATAAGAAACATTTTGAAGTCTGAATAGATTGATTGTATTCATTATAAATAGATAATATGTACTTCATTATATGCACCTACCTGATATTTTATTTTTAATAATGTTATCATTATATGTATTTTTATTTTCAGATATCTGCATTTATATTTGCAAGTGAAGGAAAAACGGCTGAAAAAGTAACTACTAGTCTTTTAAAACTAATATTTACACTTGAATTAGCATCCGAATACAGCTGGAAAGGACAAAAATGGAAAAAAAAACTTCATGATCACCATATTTTTAAAGTTATTATTGGTAAGTTGATACAGGACATTTTGTATGTTAAGAACTGGAGTTATTTGATGTATACTTTTATAATTACAATAAAATATGTTTATTAATTTTAGCTGCTGTAAAAAATAAGTTCCCTGGTATCAACAAAGATGATATAAAGCCTAACATAATGACTTGGTTTGCTCAAGCATCCCACAAAATTAAAACAAGGTAATTCTATAAGACATTATAATATTACTATACTACTATAGTAGAATATCCCTATTTGTTTTCTTTCTCATCTGGCCCACACACAATGTAGCAAATTTGGGTTTAGGAGAACGGATCCTATGTTTTTAAAGTAAATTAACCTATTACCAAACTTAAAGTTAAGAATATTATCTAAGAAATCTCAGAGGCTTTTTATTGATATTTATTTTTAAGTGACTTATAACTATGTAATAATATAATATTACATACAATATTAATTTGCTTTAAAATTAAAATATCAATAAAAGACTAGCAGAGCCCTAGATAATATTCTTACCTTCATGTTTGATAATAGATCAATTCACATATAACATCTTTACAAGATCAATTAATATGCTATTTGTATAGTTGCGAATGGGCCTGAGAGATAACAAACAGTGTGGTGCCCTTTAAAGTTAAAAATATATATATACAATAAATATACTCTAATACTCTATACAATATATAATATATTAACAATTATTATTTATTAGTACTGAATTAAATCGAATATTTACTAGTTGTTATTTACACCATTTCCTATACTAGTTATCATTTAAATTACTAGCGATTACTAATAATACCTACCATATTGTTGTACAGAAAAATTAAATTAATATATACATGTAAAAATATTATTGTTAAAATAAATTATTATACTAAAAATAATTACCTTTTTTTAATACATTTAAATCTAAACTTTTTTATTTTGCATCTGTTATAGCCAACAAGTTAAAGAAAGATGCAATAATAATGGTAACTGCAACTACGAAGGCAATACATTATAAAACATTATATCATCACGGCATCTAGAACACAGAAGTCCTGCCAGAAGTCCTGCGCCAGAAGTCCTAATGCCAATCAATTCTTTTCAATCATAATATTATAAAAAAGTTATTTTTAATATAATAAATATTAAAATATATATTTATTTAATATTTATTGTTCCTTACAAAAAAGATTTTTTAAACATTCATAAAAATATACTTATAATGTTTTTAAAACGTTGGTTTTTCATTTCTTAAGAATGTTTAATAAACATTTTGATAACATTTATAAAATATTTTCTATTCAATCAATAAGCGGCCATTATAACATTAAATAAATATTTTTAGAATCATTTTTAAAATGTTTTTATATTATTATTTCAAATATTTAAATAATATTTTTTTGCTACTTGGGAACGCTCGTGTGCCCACTCTAGCACGCGCGTTAAAAAGTACATCCGTCGTAACGTGCGTATTTTGTACCCTCGTGTGACACCAGCCTAAGATTAAAATACCGACCGGTTGTTACAAAATAATTGCTTTGGAAGCTAAAATACGAGGACTATTGAAAGACGTTTTTTCAGCTTGTCAACCGATAACAGCACGTTGAAATGCCCAGTGCATTGTAATAGCGAAATCGACTTAAACGTCGAAGATAGCATCGCCCCGTTATTGGGTTTTGATAAGCAGATTTTGACGAGAGACCGTAAACATGAATCCAATCGGGTGGTGAAAATTATGAATGTCAACAAGATAAAAGTCGAATGCAACCTAGCTTTAGGTTCATTCGACAACGGGCGGCAATCGCACACAATACACGAATTTTATCCAGTTGTCCCGCCCGGTTACAAAATAGTTGAAATACCGAAATATTGCGTGTTGTATAAACTGAAAACAAATACTATTGATTACGTACGAGTATCGTTGACTGATCAAAACGGATTTTCGGGGTGAAACTGTGAACGTTAGACTCCTTATAAAAAATGGGTTTGAAGTTTAACGTCGATAAATACCCGATCAACAATGCCGACACTCGCATTAAAGCTACGGTGGTTGACAGGCGTGCATCACAGTACACC